AGTGGGGCCAGCAGGGGGCGCTCTCACCCTGCGGTCTGTGTGGGTCCTGATGCCCCAGTATAGTGACGGGGGACACTGGACTGTAAACAGGCGCCGTCCTTCGGATGAGACGTCAAACCGAGGTCCCGACTCTCTGTGGTCATTAACGATCCCAGGGTGTCTCTCGAGAAGAGTAGGGGTGTTACCCCAGTGTCCTGGCCTAATTACCCCCCTGGCCTTGACCCATCATGGCCTCCTGATCACCCCCCTCTCTGAACTGGCCTCATCCCTCTGCTCTCCTCCCCCTGAGAGCTGCTGTGTGTGAGAGTGTAAGGACTTTTTATTATCATAAGGCAGGATTTTCTCTCTTGTTATTCTGTGGTGGTGTTATAGAGGATTTGAATAGTTGGTAGCAGCCTGGGGTTTTCTGGGAAGTCTAGACATAGGCCCCTCTTGGATGCCTTGTTTGTAAAGAGAGTAACCTGTGTAGAGTTTAATGTGTGTTTTTGTCATTGTTAATAAACCCAATGTCTGATGTACTGTACTCCAACACCACTACATACAGTACATGACAACTAAATGTAAACTGAAATTGTACTTAAAACTGTACTAGTTGTACTATTTATTAATCACTGTAGTATTTTTGCACTGTTTGCCGAATTACTTTTGCACTGTTTTTGTCCTGTTTGTATACTTTTCACCATTTGTGTATTTACACCATTTGTGACGACTGTGCACTGGCACCATACTGTTGTTTACACTGTTATTGTTATTGTTATTGTTATTGTTGTGTTACTGTCTATTGTCTTGTCTGCTGTTCTATTTATATGCTGCACCTGAGAGACTAATGAGAAACACTTTTCGCTATACTATGCACCCATGTAAGTATAATGACAAATAAAGTTGAATTGAATGTAATACCTTTTTCACCAAAACTGTGCAAAAGAACAAAGAGCTCAGGTGTCTCTAATTATACCAACCACTTGGGTATATTCCTGGTATATTTTTACAGTTTTTATGTAATTATGATTTATTTTACTTATTAACTATCTTTCTCTTTATTTTTTATAATCCCCATATTTGTAACAATGTTATTATACTGCTACTGTAGGATATCACATTACATTATTATCTAAATATTTTCAATGACTGTTTACAGAGATGTGTATTTAACTCAAATACAAAACACCGCTATTGTAGGATATCACATTACATGAGCTCAGTATGTTTTCTCCAATAGGAAGACAGTAAGTGATCAAACATTCTGGCTGTTTAGCCTCTGGAGGGATGAGAAGTTTTGGAAATTCAGCCTGAACTGAAGACTGTGCTGTTGAGCTGAAGTGCAGAGACCCTGAGATCTGTGGGAGGAATCCGGGGGGCTTTCCTTACTGGCGGTGGGCTGAGAGACCCATGATCAACTCCGGTCAGTGATCATAAGGAACAAATATCCGACACACAGAAACACATGATAAAGAGACGAAGAGAAGGAGGAGAAGAAGGAAACAGATGAGAGAGAAGATGAGCAGACCTTGTCGTGGTCAGTCCTGAAGAGCAGAGTCCAGGAAGGGCACGTTGGTCTTGTTCTGTGTTCTGTGTTATTTAGGTGCTGAATTATTCATTGTTAATAAATATTTACCAGAGTTGTGACTCTGATTTCATGACTTATGCCAGAGGATAAGGAACTCGCATGTCTCAGGTTTATTATTTTATTTGATTTACTGTATTTTCTGCTCCTACACTTTAATTTGTAACAGCAGGAAAGTGAAAAAGTGTCTTAAAACACATCAAATGTATATACATATAAACAAAGAAGAAATTCGACTCCATATTCATCTTACTCCATAATAATCTTGTAAATTGATAATATTTACGTTTTTCTATAACTGTATAATGGAAGCAATAAAAAACAGCTCAACCATTCAGCACAATTAAATCTCAAAACTGCATCACCACAGGCATCAACTCCAGTAGAACATTATTAAAGAAAATGCTTGGAAAACTTTATTGTTAAATTAAGACAATTGAAAAAACACAATTCATCATGCCAGTAGCCTGTAATCTGCATATTGATTTGGTATAAAACATTTTGGAACCATTTTAAAAAGTCTTGTTTTCTTCAAATGGAGATAATAAAACTTCTTCAAATGGAGATAATAAAACTGCTTTATTGCTTTCACATCATGAAATCAAATGTCAGGTTAGTATTTTATAAGCAAAACGTATTTTCTAAAATGAACAAGCAAAAATAAAACAAAATCATGTATTGCTCTAAGCCCTTCAAAATTAAAATCATAGGATTTAAAGAAGATCTGCTTTTTCACAGAGGCCCAGGACTGGAAAAATAAAAATAAAGGTTTTACTCAGCAAACAGCAATTACACCAATTCTTAACGTCACTTACAACAATGGAAAAATCCACGATCATACCTGATGACCATTAATCGTGTCAGCTGTGAAATTTTATTGCCTTGATCAAGAACACTGTCCCCAGGACAACACCGAGAATGCCCAGGGCCAGCCCTATCGCACAGAATGCCGTCTCTGAAGCATCCGAGTCTGTTGGCACCTCAGCGTCTGCAGGAGAACAGAGGAGCGACAAGATCATTCGCAAGACGAAGAGAAAGTGAGGGAAACACTGGGCTCTGCACTCAATTATTATTCGGCAACGAAATTTTATTTTATATAGCACCTTTAAAAGTAGCATCTCAAATCACTTTAAAAAATATAGAGATATATAGATATAAATGACAAAATAGACACATATAAGGAACACAAGTGGCTACAGGTGCAGCAGATACATTCATCAGAAAATGGAGAAGACACACTCAATGAAGAAAAGCCTTTCTGCATGTTTTAGCTGTGAATGACCCTACCTGTGATGTTTCAGTACATGCACATGAATGTGTGAGCTTACGTTTGTTTTATAATACCTTACCATTTAAATATGTTACAGGGAACATTCACAAATGAAGATGTGGGCTATATTTTGGAAATATCCACACTCTCTATTCACACCTCCACTTGTCCCATCTCCTACAGCTCCTGTTTGCTTAAACGGCACTCCCTACATCTTCATGTTGAAGACTGAACAGAACAAAAACAGAGATGCCGAATCGGTAATAAGGCGTGGGCTTCTCTTTTTTCATTCATGCTAAGCAAAGTGAATTTATAGCTGCCTCGCCTGCTTTAAGAGGTGTCCGAATTCTGTTCGGTTACCCTGTCCCTAGAAGAGGGAAGAGTGCGTCTCACTCACCCCAGAAGACAGAGACTGGCTCGCTCAGGGCTGTGTGCTCCACGTGGCAGGTGTAGATGTCCCCCTCCTGCGGGGTGAAGCTCAGGTACGAGAACATGGCGAATTTGTTGCTGCTCAGGGGGATGTAGTCCGTGGAGCTGACGTCACTGGTCACAGGCTGCCCGTTCTTCAGCCACCTGAGCTGGGCGGTGGGCGGCGTGAAGTCGTTGAGCGCGCAGATCAGCGTGTTGGGCCAGCCGAGCTCCACGGGCTCCTCGGGGAACACAGCTGGCTTCGGGGGGACTGGAGGAGACGCGCGGGAATGCGTTAGCGGGACTGGACTGTGGGGCGCTCCTGACAGGGCAGACTGAGGGGGTGTGTACAGCCCTCTTCCTCATCACCAACAGCACAGGTGCTGCGCTTACTGCACATTATATCTCAGTGTATATACAGACGCTGCTTTTATTTTTCAGACAATGGAGCCCTTTAGAACTTTAATTTTCTATTTCACTTTAAAACTATAACCGATTCCCTTTCTCCAGTCCTGAAGGTATCGATCGAGTGGGTAGTGATTTTAGAGAGATTTCTAAGTACCAAGACATTCCTAAACATTTACTTGATACAATCACCACCTTCACCTAAGTAGTCCCAAAACAGTTTAGCTACTACGTTGTAAAACTATTTTTACAAACTGTAATGCTCCCATTCCACAGTGTTTAAGAATTTAACACAAAGTATGTCACTTCAAATGACAGATATAATCATTGATAATATAATGGTTCTTTAAAATACTGTAAACCTGTTGTAGACACCCTTAGTCTGAAGGAGCATTCAGAGAACAGGATGGAGGGATAGTTTAAGAGAGAGATTAAGAGATTAAGTCTTACCCTTCACAGCAGGTTCATCAGGAATAGCTTTCATAACACCCTTCAGGTGGTTTTCACAAATGCCCAGGTTAGCCAGTGCACCCTGAATCAAGCTCGAGTCGTTCCAGGCCCACTTCTCAAACTCGGGGAGACGGGGCTCGTCCACCTTCCGATCGGGGTCGATGTGAAACATTTCATCGTCGTCAAACACTTCATTGCGGGATCCTTTTCGATTTTCACTTTGGCAGAAATATGCCACCTCGTAGGTGTGTTCAACTACAAACAAGTGAAGACAAGGTAAGAAAAAGCAGCAGCTAATTAAAGCAAAAGCAATGTAAGACAAAGCTGTTCGTTACTCACCAGCAACAGTGGCAGCTCCCTGCATCACCACCAACAGCCCAAGACATTTCCAGCCCACAGACATCGCGATACAAACCACACACAAATCACGATGTTGCAGCAGCGAAGACACTCCTCTCGACTGAGTTTGCTCTGCCCGCGTCCTACTCTAGCTCACTCCAGAGAGTGAGAGGATACTTCCCCTCACAGTGGGCCAATCACTGTATTTACAGGAAGCAGGTCAGGGATTTCCAGCAGACCTTGCCTACCGAGATCATTCTCTGTGAAACACTACACAGCTCTCCCAGAGGGCATGTGTGAGCAGTGCTCTCCTACACCGAAGCTCCTGAGCATATTCTAAGCAGGGGTTAATCCATGTTTATTTAAATGATGACAGACCTTGGGCTTTTAAAGATCAGTAAAGCTAGGGATGGAATATGAACCAGGTCCCCACACAGCCAAGAAAATAACAGGACAGTGCACACGCTCGGTCTACAGCATAAGCCCACTCATAGCTGTCTGCTGGATGATCGCTTGTTCTTTATCATCGTCGCTGGCTGCAGGAGACAGTGATAAGAAATTCTGTAAAGTGTTTTATGGAGCAAAAGATCTTTAAGGAACCTTTTTGTTTTCTGAATACAGTCTCGTTCAGCAGACGTCTGTTCGCATATAGGGATGTTTTCAGACCTCACAGTGTCACAACTGACAGTGCGTCACAATCACGGCCCTCTGCTCTTGGCACTGATCGAAATGCTCACAATGTGTGTATCTGTGTGTGTGTCCTGTCCAGGCTGTACCCTGCCTTAACAATTAATTAATAATTACCTGCACTTATATAGCGTTTACCTGGACATCCCAACTCACAGCTCTTTCCAGGTCATGGGGATCCACAAGTGTGCTGCCCCACCTGGATGATGCACCAGCACACTGCCCCCACACACACCAGCTCTCAGTGGGGAGGAACAAAAACAGCCCAGTGCCCAGTGCCCAGTGCCCAGTGCCTGCTGGGACAGACTCCAGCTCCCCTGGTGAGCCTGAACTGGACAAAGCTGAGAAGCCAGATGCATTTTTGAAAACACCACATATTCTGTACCAGGCCCAGATAACTCTCTTACTCCCTCAGAAGCTCCGCTTCTCTAAAATCACAAACAATGGCTTCCGCACTTGAAATAAGGACATCTTACTGGGCCCCAGAAGGCGCAGTAAGAAGAGAGACAGGGGGGGCCCTGGACACACTGAGAGACGGGGGTTCATCCAGACACACTGAGAGAGAGAGACCGGGGGTCACTGGACACACTGAGAGA